ATGTCGGCAACATAAACACTCTCTCACTATTTGACTTAGCAAATGTCGCAATGCGAGGCACCACCGTTTTGAAAACATTGCTTTCGCTTAGGTAAAGTGAATGTTCAGGTGATATAGTGATTTGGGCTTAACTTATTCTATAGAATTTAGTTATAGATTACTCCTTCATTAATTTTTTGTGACAAAATCTAGATTTTCTGGATTCCGGGTACATATATACTGTAGTATGGTTTAGTAAAAAGTCAGTTGAAAAGTCCCGTTCTATTGTAGTAAAATACATTTTTTTAGCAAAATTGTTTTTTCTTTTTTTTTTATTCAACATCGTAACTTCATGGGTGACAGACTGATTACAGCGACCCTATGATTTTTCGATGCCATTTTGGAGTAAGAAAATTAGTCCATATTCATCCAAAAATACAGACRGACTCCGTAACCTTAAGAGCCGACTGTTTCGTTTTTCCACACTTTGGAGCGGGTTTATCTTGTGTGTGGTTATCGATTGGACTTCGTAGTTAAATTATGGAGCCAAAATTCATTCATTGACACATATCGGCGCAAAAGTTCGATTTTATTACGCTTGAACATCTCCAAATATTACACCGAATCAACTAGTCGTTATGTTTGGTAAAAAGTGAGCTCACGCTGCACCCACTTTGCGTAGAGACCTTTTATACCATAGTATTTCTGATTGAAATGCTCAGTTGATATGTTTAGAGTGCCTGCTATCTAGAAGAAWCTCACTTTATGGTCATCCAAAATTAGTTTGATGTTTTGGGTTTTTTTCTTTTTTAAGTTTGCTTATTCAAAGTATACATTTGGCACAATTGAGGGATGTAACAACCTTTTCGTCGGTAAGACGGTTTTTTTGAAAATTTTGAAAATTTGCCGAACAACTGACGAAGAATCAATGCAGTATGCAAGCACATTACAGTGGGTTAAAAACCAAGAAACGTCGAAAATTTATTCCGACCTCTTTTTAGGAACAGATTCGCTCCAACGAATGCTCAAATTGTATTCCTTGTTGACAGTTTGGCAGGTCTGAAGGAATTAGGAGACCACTACAACCCGATAATCGAAGAAARCTGTCAACATATACTCAATTTTTGATCTGCTATAACCCGGTGTTTCGGATATTCAGCCGATTTGTCGTCTGTCTCCGGGTCATCGTTCGTTTTTCCAAAAAAATGTGTGATTGGAATCGATCGTGCCTTCACTTTTCTAAGTCCCAAAATATCTTTCCAAATGCTTTCTACTGATCCTTCGGATATACCACGGATGGCAGTAAGATCTCTGACTTTCATTCCTCGATATTCCAACATCAATTCCTTTATTTTGTTGGCGTATTGATCATCAGTTGATGTCCTGGGCGTGGTTCATCATCAACACATTCTGGACCGTCTTTGAATAATTTGTCAACAAACAATTATCACCTACTCAATAAAAAATAGCTATGAGTTTTGCAAAAACGTTGTCGAGTRGAGGTCATAAAAGGTTGCTTTCTAGCCTAGCTGAAAACCCTACACGTATAATGACTTATATGATTTATGAATATGAAGGCCAGGCCATCTACGCCAATACTTATATCAAGTGTTTGGAAACTTGATTAAGCGTTWGTATGCTTGTATTAAAGGCTACAATAAAGGAACAGTACTAAAGTAAGTTAATATATAGTCAAATCGGACGCTATACATTCTTATCATTGATTCATTGAATGTACCTACGGTGTTTTCGAAGTAGCTCGAGGTCGAATTGAATATATAATATTTAGTAGAGACAATTGGAAGTCTTCTTTACTCTCTTGAGTTGTAGCGTATAAAATGTGTAAAACATTTTGCTATGTATTAGTGTGTTAAAAAAGCAAAAATAATGATAAACAATGAAGTAAATGTAAGAAATTCAAAAAA